AACGTGGTTCTATCGACATAACACTCTTGGAACCATTCATCTTTTTTCTCTGACATTCTCCTGTAACTACTTTTGCAGCGGAGTTATAACTTAAAACAATTGCGTGAATCATCCTTCTATAGGGTTTTTATCAATTCGCCTTTTGTCCTTGAATGATAAAGTTTTGTTGTATAATGGTTTACTTGCGATAGAACCACATATTCTTTACCTATATATAATTTTCAATTGCTCCTAATCAGATTAATTTTGTACGAGTATGTTGTACATTGTATAGTCAAGCAACAAATCTGACTACCGTAGGGAATATACAATAAGCAAGGGGGACGAATTCCCTCACTTGTTAATTTTAAACAATTTTGGAGTATTTGAAAATTTCGTGATAGCTTAGGAATTTGAGGTAACAGAATTTGAAGACTTTGTGATTTAAGAGTCTACGAATATTGAAAACCAGGAATATGGACACATAGGAAATTATAAACGCAGAAATTTGGGGACTAAGAATTTGATGACTTAGAAATATAAGAATTTAAACATCCCAGAAGAGCTTGGTCTAAGTACTTGGAGATATAGAGACTTGGGAATTTAAAAATGCGGGTTGTAGGTATTTGGAGGTTTAGGGATACAGTGATCTAAAGATTCGATGGTGTAAAGATTTGATGATGTAGAGATCCGATGATGTAGAGGTTCGGTAATCTAGGAATTTGGTAACCTATGAAATCGGTGATACAGAGATTCGGTGATGTATGGATTTAGCGATCTAAAGACTCGGTGATCTAGGGATATGACAATCTAGGTATTTCGACATTTAGAAATTGAGGGATTTAAGACATCGGGGATAGATATATTTGAGACCTAGAATATTTAAAAATTTAGAAATTAAGAAATTTGAAAATATGAAAATTTAGGAAATTTGGCAATTTGGATTGTACTTGAATTATTTATCATTCATGATATTTGTGAAACTGGGATTGTTTGTATTGCATTTATAATAATAATGTTTGCATAAACTATTAAAACTTGCATTTTTAATAAATAATGAAATATATTTCATTATTAAATATTTTTATTATTACCATTAAGTATGTGTATTATTATATTTATTATTAAATACTTCATTATTATATGTGATTCTTAAAATTGAATATTTTAGTCTACTGCAGTCGATTCAAATATCTTATACATTGAAATAAGAAATATATAGCGGCTGACAGAATTATTGCACTTCCTACAAAGATTTCTTTTTAAAAATATGAGACAGACGCGACGTTAATTACTTTAACAACATTACTGATACTTGATATAAGTGTACGTTAAGTATTCTATATTTTGGACTTCAGTTAGTGGTTGAACAAAAATCTTGACTTTGATTTAAGTGACATTATATTCATACATCAGATTATGTCTACATATTATGAAATGTCCTGTAAATTTGTGCTGTAAATATTATATGATGAACGGTGTTTAATTAACCTAAAAAACCTCATCTCTCGTTTAAATGTTCTGAGAAATGCATCACTGCGGCTGTTCACCCGACTTTTTTTCTAGAAGAAAGCTACTTGCAACGTGTATTCTCGTGGGACAACCTTTCCATTAAACGAAGTATCTTACTCTCAGCTTTTGCAAATAACACGATAATGGAAAAAACTAGCAGGTGTAGACGGGAAGTGGCCTGTAACGAGCATTAAATTGCATTTTCATTGTTATCGCAACATTGTTTGCTGTAATGCAACTAGAACAGCTGCAAGTGAGTTTTGATTTCCGTATCTTGTTTATCGACCACTCGAGCTCTCAATTTCCGTCCAAAATTATGTTACAGAGAAAATGTAATGAGCAGCGAATTTTTTCATTAACTTCTTCGATACACGTCATTTCGAATTCTCGGACACAATTATCAAAATATTATTTTTCAACGTGACATTGTCAACTGTCACGTATCACTAAGCGTGGCAAGTCCAATTATTAACTGTAGAACTACAATAAAACAGTAATGAAAGTAATAAAATAATATATCCTCAATTAAATCTGGGTGAAAAAAATTAATTCCTCAAAAAATTCAAAAGAAGAATGAACTCAGACAAGCAGCATAATTATAGTGGAAAAAAAATTCTAAAAACTGTTAGCAAAAAATTGTATAACGTCAATGCATATGCGGATAAAAACAATTACATATGAACGAGGAAATATGAAAAAATGTTAAATACTATAAATTATAAAGCAAATTGTTGAAAATGTTTACAAATCTCATGCTTTAGAAAAAGATAAAAAAGATTCTATGAAAAACAATAATCATAATATCTTATAACATTGTGTCAATGTTTTCAATTAGATCTGTTAACCACTACACAATGAATATTTATGCAAGTAAATTATGTCAGATTATGCAAGAAATATGTATGATATGTACGAAACGTACTATGATTCATGTTGTCATTTGTACAATTCGAATTTCAATAAATTATCATAGCCTTTTCAAATTTATTAGTTACAAGTTGATAAATTAATTTATCAGGTAAAATTAATTCATGTACATAAATAGACTCTATTGCAAAACGTAATTGGAACATATTTCAATTTGGATCAGTTTCAAATTGATTTGACTTTCAACAGTCGCAATATAAAATCAGCAACTTTCTATAGAATATTAAAATTTCTATTCTTTTTCATAATTAAAACTTGATTGAAACTAGAGTTTTACAATTCTCAAGCATGATTTTAAGTTTCTAATTGTTTCAGCAATTAAATCTGCTGACTTAATTATAAATAATGTTATTATGTTTCCAACCCTATCACAGTACTGATATTCGTGTGACAAGGAATATGTGAATATATTGTTATATACACATTTAAATGAAGCAAATAAAACATGTATATGTATTGTGGAAAATAGAAAATATATGTTCAACATATACAAACAATCTGATACTTTCACATCTTTATATTTCTTCTATAAAAACTTCATGTATTGAAGTTGAAGTGTACTGACACTACACAAATATAAAGTTAAGGTAAGATATTGAATTAATTCATAAATCGTCGTTTAAAAGGTTAAGCTAGTAGTAATGCATATTTGATTTAAGACTTTAAAGGCGTATCAGATTTCCCTCTATTTATCTTACGTACTTTGCGAAAAGTAATTATTTAACTTCTATTAAAAGAGTTTAGTTTATAAAATCTATTTTTTCGCACTCTCTTCTCCCCAGCTGCGAACTCCGAACTAAACTTTTCAGATCGAGATTGCAATAAAGTCAACTAAGTTAATTTCTCTTCTTCTTCATTGCTACAGGAAGTTTCAGAACTTCAAAGGATTGGAAATGTTTATTAAACACATTAATATACACGAAATATTTGAAACTACGCGTTCTCTCCTATACTGTAATAGAAAAAGTAATTATCTTGCAATCTGAGATATAAGAGTGTTATAATGATTCTGTTACTCTTTATCTTTCCTACTCTGCCTCTTTCATTCATTTAATTCCAAGTTCCAAGAAGCTCGTTTCAGTTAGCGCGCCTGGTACTCTTTGTAACTTTAATACGTTGTACTTAAAGTTGATTCAAAGCAAAGAATAACGGTAACACCTCGCAACAAACTAGCCAGCTCATAACAGATTTTTAGAGCTTTTATCTAATAAGAGAACATTCCGAGCTATTATTTAAATTTTTTTATGAATATTTGTAAAATGGTGGAACTTTAAAGATTGAGGTTAAAAGCACCTTTTTTGGACGCAAAAGACTAGTAATTTATAAAATTTTTAACTTTAAAGTTACTATCTGTCTTAATTTTTCGAAACGTTAGTAATATATTATGTCACTCTGAATAGATTTTGTAATTGATTATGAATCAATGAATTTTTAATTACCGCTCTTATGAAGTTATAGCTTCTGGTTTATCTTTTATGGCAAATAATTAAATAAAATTAATTTAAAAAATATTGAAAAATATAGTAAACATATAGTAAATATAGTAAACGAAAAAGTGAAAAAATTTTTCTAATGGAATTTCAATTCACTATAAAAGATAGAATAATCTGGTGACTAGATCAAAGCTGCAACGATTACTCACACCTTAGAAAATAATGAAAGGTAACTATCTTATAAAATATTATACCAGTCATCTGCCACCAAGATTAAATATCGTTAGCTTCAGTTTTACAAACTATTATACAAGGTATAATACTTCAATATATTCTATTAAAGAAACTTTATTATGCTGATTTTTAACACAAAAAATTAGAATAGCACCACGGGACCTTTCATTATGTCATTCAGTTTTTCCATATCACACACAGAATCGACTACACTGTTATTTTAATTCATACTGATAGTTTATGGCGGTTATACCGTGTTAATCAAGTTGATAAGTTGAGAAATTCATAAATATAACAAATTAAGTAATCTTAGTCAATCATTTCGATTATAAAACATATAACACTGATGCAATGCAAATAAAATACTCTGACAAAATAAAACAAACAGAAAATAAATGTTACTCGTTTCAACAGAAGCATATCTACCTTTTATCTAAAATTTTATCTCTAAAACTCTACGGCAAATCTTCATTACTCTCAGAGTAATTTATACCCTATAATCTTCTATAATCTTTTAAATTTTAAGCAAATTTAAAATAACTTTCACGTTATATCTAAAAATATACTTCCAACAAATTTATCCTTTTTAAAATTTGTTTAGTATTTAGAATATCACTATTTATACACAACTAAATTTTAAGGACACTTTATAATAAAAGGTATTTGTGATGTATCCACCAATAAATGATGAGCTTATTATTATAAAAATAACCTTTGGAAATAATTACTTTTGCTCCATCAGAAAATGGAATCAACTAGAGCTTATCAAAATAAAATCCTCATTTAAGGAAGCATGGGAATAATTAAATTAACATTTAAACAAGTATGAAAAATTGGTTTGTACCACGCATTAACCTCTGAAAATATTCTACAAATATGAAGCTGAAAGCAGTAAGAAAACATCATGGAACTCACGTGTTTTCCTTCTGGTCGCTGTTGCTTGACTGCGACGATGGAGATGGTTGCTGAGTCTGTTGTTTCGAATACGGATGATGGTGGTGCACGACGTTGTTGTTGTTATTGTTGTTGTTGTTGTGCATGTGCACCTTGTTTGCGTTGCTGTCGGTAGGCGAGCCCGGCGAGATTTTCCCCGCCAAAGCGTTCAATGACTGAAGCATTTTCATAGGAGTCCTCCTGGCGACCGGCTCTCGATGACTCCTTCCCTCAGCCTCGTTTATCCTTGAGGAAGACAGGATTATTCTTCGTTTCCGGTTTGAAGGTGTCAACCCTCAAACTCTACCGTACACGTAACAATAAACCGGCGTAAACAACGCGAAACAAAACCGTTACTAGGAACGACGCACTTTTGCCCGGGCAATTGCACGAATTACCGGATATGATCACGAGTTTTTCCAATAGTCGACACAAAAATTACACTGTTCACGAAATACGGATGCACAACTATAGACACTTATTCGTTTCTAACGAGCGTTCACTTTTAGAACAGATTTTAAGGAAAACTTGGTTGATGAAACGTCCGAATCGAGATCGTAGAATCCCAATAATCGACGACACGATTCCTCGAATCGCTAAAAAAAAAAATAAATAAATATAGTTGCGTTTTACGGTAAATCTAGAAAAATTTAATTCACATTTTAGTCATGCAACGCAAGTGTTAGAAACGAACGGATAATTGTATTCTTTTGTGATTGTTTGGTTTTCAAATACAAGGAAACTATAATTTTAAATAATATTCAACAATTCTAGATTTAAATGTAACTAACAGATTGACAGGTGGATACGTCTTTTCGTAAATTGCAATTGATTACCACTAACATATTAAGTTGTATATCCATTGCTGGAGTTTGAAAATGAAATGCCTGGTATGATCAAATCACATAATAATACTATTTGTGGCATATCAATTGGAAACTTGAAAATTGTGTCACCTTGATAGGATTAAATTGAGTCCAGTTCAACAGACAATACAAATTACTGGAACCTAGAATAGCTGAGAAGGGAAAATGCTACTCTGTAAATTAATTAAGTTATGAGTGATTAATTTCGTCAACCATTCACGTTGTGTAATATCATGTTATATTACTTCCGACAGTTTTCTTAACTGCATACAATTTAAGTTATATTTTTGACCAATTTTAATCTTCAAATTGATATGGTGCGTTCTATTTTGCGATGTTTTTATGTCATTAAATCGTGTCAGTGTTTCTATGTTTCGAAATCAGTTATTGTTTGCTGTAACTGGCAACCAGCCATTTTATATCAACCGGGTGATGTTCAACTAATGTGTTTCGCTAACGAAATTAAATCACACGCAGTTTATCTTTTAATGTACTAGATATTTTAGTAGTTACTTTTAAAGCAAGAATTATTTAAAAATATTATTTATAAAATTATTATATGTAAAAGAAAGTTTTGGTTTTAATATTCTCTATATTAGTTGTAGCATTTTAATAGGTAAATTTGTCCAATTTTCAAGTTCAATTTCTAGTGTTTGTTGTCTGCTCTTAATGCCAGAATTGTGCAATAAGCATTTATAGATTTAAATTGGTGACAATTGGTTTTCAATTTTAGGAAATAGAAAAATGATCTGCGAAAATATAATAATATTTAAAATATTACCAACTTTAACAAATATTTCAACATCTTAACCATTTTTATAGTATGTACCAATATGCTGTTAAACTACTGTTTTATTTATATAGAACATAAATTATTTCAATCGGCCAAGATGGTTGTAAATATACTTTCACTAAAATTTAATTGTAATATAATAAAAAATGACTCATACACCGATTGCGAAAGTAAATGCTACGAATATCATTGTTAATGATCGTGATAAATTTGAAATATCTACATATTATTAATTTAATATCATCCATTTTTCATTATAAATAAATGATAGAACATGAACAAAATGTCATCTGACTTTTTTTCTTAAGTGAAACACAGCTAGGTACTAAGTTTTGGAGAAAATAATGCATAAATTAAATACGTCAGATGAAACGTATAAACATAAAAGTAAACATTTGAAATAAAATATACAAATTTTGTATATTAACACATTCGCGACCGGCAAATTTTTCCCGTTTCTAATACTAAATACCAGCGAAAATGATGAAATTCTGAAGCTGGTTGCCACAAACTTGTACCGTTAAAGCAAGGATAACAATAATAAAATTTGTTTTAAAATATCAATGTTGCAATAATATGTTGTTTAAAATAAAAAGATTTGTATAATTTGTATATTTGCTTCATTGGTAGACAATACACCACTTGTTATTATTGTGCTGAATTTATTTAGCATTATATTACAAGTATTTTAGAAAAGTCGAGTAAAAACAAAAATTAATATTTCTGTTTAATGTGATAAGTATAAAAACAAGAATTTTTGCATAAAGGAACTTTACATAATTTGCATATATACGAAGTGTCACGACGTTTTCCACGAGTTTTGCAAACTCTACAACGTTTTAGTGGCTTTTTTGATTTCTCTGGTTGTGCAATTCCTTCAATTGCATGTATTCTACATTATTATGAAGATATTACATTTCACATAAATACAATTTACGCGTTTAAGGCGTTCCGTGCATCGAATACCTCTACCAGTACGCGCCCATAACGCGGAACAAATAGGATATCTGACTCGAGCCCCATATTTTTGTAGAGGCGCATATGGACCCTTAAGTTCTTGTTTTAAATAAATTAGTATAAAAAATGTAATATAATACAATTGCCACGATACTATGTATAGAAATCAGCCGTGCACCGAACGGAAGGTATAAAATGTACGCATAACTTCAACGACAGTAATATTTTTTCCACAAACGAAATTAAAAATTCCAGTTTATCAATATTTTTCCTTTGGACTCATAGTTTATGTATGTGAAATTTGATCAAAATGGTACAACGTTTTATTAAAAAAATTTGCAAAATAATGTTAATTTTTAACGTATTTTTTAAACAAATAAATTTTTCAATAAGCCGCTTACGCCATATCATTGGTCTTTTAAAATAGAAAAAATTGCACTTTGAATTTTTCGTCTAGGCCTAATAGTTCCCGAGATATTTACGAAAATATTTTTTTCAACCCCAACTTTAAGGGTTATTTTCACCACTTCAGAGTGGATGTTTGCCGATAAAAAGATACGCGTCAAAAATTTTTTGAGTTCTATAACATAGAACTCAAAAATTTCATCAAAATCGGCGTATCAATTGGGTGATGTCTCTTGTACAATTATTATTTAATCGGTGCACGAGTCCGTATTATTTTCCAAGTGTTTCAAATAATTTAGTTACATTTCTTACGAAAGAGGAAGTAATCAATGAATTATTTATCCGATTTTCTTCCAACGTTTAAGCAGTTATTTGACTTCGCCATTGAAACGAGTTCTTTTGAATGCAAAAGAATTCCTTCAATTATGATCGATAAATTCGTTAAGTAAAATTATTAAGAAGACATTGGATGAAATTGGAGTCTGATGAAGCTAGGTTTGAAAAGTAGATCAAATAAGTAAAAATTTTCGGATTCAATTCCTGAATGAGTGTTTCAATGAAGCTTGTAATGTGTAGTCAAGTATTGGCATGCCATCGGAAACTGATATTTCTCACAATCAAATAAACATTAAAAATATGATCGTAATACGTAAAAGTTTAAATCCAACACTAGAATGTATGATCCAGATGTAGTTTTTGTTGTAAAAAATATTTGAAAGAAAAGACAATAAACTTGTTCATGAACCATTCTACCGCTCATATAAATTTTAAAGAGGTTAAATAAGCGCCAAAAATTAATCTCCAAAAAATAATAGGTAGGTACTTCACAAAATGTATTCGCTAATTTAAAGCTTTAACCCTTTGCGCTCGAGAGGTGACTCTCACTCACCATTTTATTTAATACAATAATTTGCAATAAGCATTTTTAATTGATGCTATAATATGACACGTGTGATGTATAAACACAGTGAAACAAACAATAGTGGAAATTATTAGTAGAGAAATAATAACCTCAAAAAAATTCATTTAACTTTTTAACTAATTTTTAAAGTTGCTGTTCGCAAGCAGTCAAATTACCTTCGAGTGCAAAGGGTTAATAAGACGAAGAGCTCTAAATTAACTTGTAGCGATTATAACAATAACAAGGAAAAAACGCGAGTAGAGCCTGTGCATTCCCGAATCCGGCGAAAACCCTAAGACCGCGGGATAATAAATTAAAAGGTTGCGTTCAGAACGTAACGAGCAAGACAGTAATTTTCATGTAGCTTAGTCACCGCATATTTACGCGAATCCTGTTCCCAGAGAGCACCTTTTTTTATCCCTAATTAAGACGGAGGCGAAGTGGCCGTAAAGAAAATCCATGGACAACGAAGCTTTCGAGGAAAGAGAGAGGACACCGTCTAGAGAGGACGAGACTTACGCAAGACAGAATATGCCGAAACGAGCGAAATCGGAGGAACGTAGATAGTTGAACGCGTACGTGGAACATCGTCTCTTGCACGGAACGGTTTCGCAACGAGTCAATTAAAAGTTTAAGTTTAATTAGAAACTCGGCTCGTATACGCTAGGCCAAGACGAAGTCTCTCTGCCCGATCTCCCTTAACGTTGTGCTGTTCGTTCGCCGTTCTCTCCTCCTTAAGTATCTCCTTCTGCATCGTGTCTTTCGTTTTCCCGCTCGAGTTGCTTCTTCGTTCGCCTTCGGTTCACCTGGTTTCAGCTCCAGCCATTCCAACCGTGCTTATACACACTCTCTCTCTCCTTTTGCCTTCGTTTGTCGTGTCTCTTCAGAGGTCAAGTCGCCGGTGGTATTTACCGGAAGCAGAAGCGTTAGAAAATGGGACAGAAATGAGAAACTGCGACATTTCGTCGTTTGGCCAAGAGAATCTGAACTTCTCTTCGAGTATTTCTCGAGTGCGTCTCTTTGTTTAGAACGGTATCGCACTTCGAGCTCGAAAGATGCCTCAATGAAGAAAAGCTGTCTGTCGACTGTTATTTACGAGAAATGTGAGAAAACCGAAGGGAATGATTGAACGTAACGAACATTGGCGAAGAGAAAAGATACAACGAAAAATGTGGTATTTTAACTTATATTTGATAAATGGGAGAAAGAAGCTTAACAATTGAGGACTCTTGTGAATACGATCCTTTCTTGAAACATGTTTTTTTCGGATTATCGAAGTTTTAGGAAGTACAGACCTAATTATACAGCCATAATTATGGATTGCAAATGCAATGCGTTACTGAAAAAAATTTTAAAAGAACATAAAATGTCCTTATAGTAAAATACATTTTACTTGACAAGTTTTTTCAATGACGAATAGTTTAGGAGACGCGGTTCATTTTAAATGAGAATGGATAACAATGTTTATCTTTAAAATACAATGCATTTTTTATTTTGCATAGATACTAGACAGCAATTCTCAACATACTCATGAAAGTGTATGACTACGGCCAACATTAAAGAATTCCAGTACAAAAAAGAAGGCATTTTGTATATATCTCAGAGAAATTATGAAAATAGGTATTTGAAACATAATTTTTGTAATGATATTGACCATGTCAGATTTGATCAAAT